GTGTGTATGTGTGCTAACATGTGTACGCAAAGTGGCCACAACTCGGAGTAATTATGAAAGCTTGTTGTGAACCTTCATACGCCCATCTATATGGAAAGAATGTCTCGCAATGAGTGAATGTTTGATATGGAAAAAAAGCCGATCAACCTTCTTGACTTAGTGTTAGCTTGAGACTTTGGCAAGAAGGAGTCTAGGCCCTGACGATATTCATCATGTCACGGCCAACCGGTTGCAGTACAACGCGAATCAGCCGACGTCTTCTCGTGGAATCGAGCTACCAATCTCCATTAAGCACTTTCATACAAAATGAAAGTCTTTACAACAATCTTATTCCAGAGGATTCGTTGAAACCCACATTTTCTGCGTACATACATTCGGAGAGAGCCATTTTGAAGATTTTTATTTCGTCTGAAAGTGTGTCTAATAAAGAGATGTCATTCAAAGAAAATGGCTGGCTCCTGTTTTTCTTTACCCTTCTCGATTCACTTCAAAGTCGTTCCAGGCGGAAACGGTCACAGTTCTGATCCGTCAAGCCACTTGGCAAACTTCGTCAGAACTGCAACTCATTTTGCACACCAACTCATGAGATTATCCCGCCATATTCTACAGGCCATATCTACTCATAACGCGAAAGTAGTATGTAAATATGTCGATAGACGGAAATAGGGCACTTATACACAATGTGTGCTTGTCTGAGTTTACGTGTGTTCGTGTATATGCAAATGTAGGTGGGAGTATGTGAATTTCTTCATCTGCCACTGCTGGTCGAAACAAAAGTCAGCCAGACATTTGCTCGCTACATTATCGTTCTGACGAGAACCAAGATTTCATAAGAGGTGGTTCAAATTAAGGTACAAACCTCCAACCCAGAGTGGCGCTCAAGCGACTGTTTGTCGCTTTTTTCGTCTTCACATTCGAAGGCCCCGGCAACTTGGCGAATCACTCCGACGTGGAGCGCTTAGCAACACATGAGAGCACCCCACGCTTTGGAAGTTGAAGAGTTCTGGTGCATTTCTGCGGTTATATCGTTTCAGGTTCGTTTCGTGTTGATAGCTTATTTTACTTTCTCCCCATCACCATGGCATGGACTCTACATCAGAATAGGTTATTTTATGAGTTGTATTTAACCCATTTCGGTTGAGGTGATGAAAGACTGGCAGTTGAATTTTTCCACAAACTCATGAGCAGACGTCATATTTTCACTGAATTTCGGATGGCCTTGCTTGCTGCCCAAAAGGTATATTCTCATCCCGACTAAAGTGGACTGCAGTTTCGACCTCGCCTTGGACTTGTCAACAGCCTTAACGGGACTCGAACCATGGCGGTGCAGCGAGTAATCGCGACAGATTAGCCACTACATCAGAATGCTACGAGTGCCTTTGGGTCACGGGGCAGAGGGAAATTTCAAAAAAATCTATGCATCACATTCTTTGGTGAGATTGTCGACGAAGTAAAGTCATATTTGCTATACCAACTCACTACACTACTTGTTTTCATTTATGAGTAGACTCTAGAGAATACCAGCAAATCGGTCATATGAGACGTATACCAGCCTCTCATCACCTTAAACGAAATAGGGTGAATACATTTCATAGAACTAATTTACCGGTAGTCTCGAAACTCTGCTTCTAAAGACAAAATAGCTTATTTTAATTTCTTCACAAGAGTAGGACCGGACCAAATAGAAATTAGGCGGTCGGGAAACATTTTCTTTTCGGCATGCATTCCTGAGGGCGGTTCTCATCTCATTTTATATCTGTCAATATGTATGCATAATTTTACCTCTTTTCAGTTTATATAGCCGGGGATATATACATATATATATTCAAATATAAAAATAAAAATAAAAAGATAAAATTATATACATAATTAAATAAAAAAGTTAAATAAACATATATTTATAATTATATTAATTAATTAATAATATATCTATCTATCTATCTATTTATCTATCTATCTATCTATTTATCTGCCTATCTATCTATCTATCTATCTATATATCTCTATATCTATCTATCTAGCTTAGGCCGCTTAAAGTGATGCAAGGGTGATTGTAAACGTTCACACACTGTGCCTTTGTGTGTCACCTGGGCTTGCTTACCAAAACGCATTCTCATCCCTACTGGACTGGACTACTGTTCCGACCTCCCCCCAACATGCTTCGTCATCACCCTCAACGGGGCTCGAATACGGGTTTTAGCAGGTCAGCGCACCCCTTCGACACATTACCACTACACCACAGTGTCAGTGCCAATGGGTCAGGGGCACCAGTGACTTGTTAGGCTGTCAGGCCTCTTCCAGATCACATTTTTGTGGTGGGATTATCGCTCGGGGTGAAGAAGGGTTGATGGTGAATCCTGCCTCTTTGTGCGACCCAGGCTGACTTGGGTTGCTTTGCAAGGTCGACTGGTAGCCTCGAGCTCCTACAGACAGCAAGCACACAGCTCCACTCCAGCTCACTTTGGCCCTTGTCCATCGCCCACCACGCCCACGTTTTAGGAAGAGGGAGGGTGGACGGCGAGCACTGGGTGCCCGGTCGGTGCGGCCCACTCGTCAACGCCTCTTGGATTGGCCAGCTCCCGAACTGATCCGCTTCACGTCGGCGTGATCGTTCGAGATTTGTGGCATTGATTACGGCCTTTTTGTCTGTCTGTTGTCATCATGTTGCCTACCGTTGCTATGACAATGTGTTATGTTATCAGCACATTGCATTTCTTTTTGCATTTCAGCAAAGCGAATCAATCGACGAATACTCACTTCGGGAGTCAGGCGTGCCCACCAGATCGAGGACTCTTCATGCGGCTCGAGTTCCGGCCAAGTCGTCCGGCCAAGAGAAGTCAAAGAATAGAGTGTGTAAGTTGTGCATACCTTCTTCTTCAATCTACTTTCCTCTTCCCTTTTCCTCCCTTCTCACATTTTATTATTTTAATCTTTTGCTTTTTTCCTTAATCCATCGGCTCCCGAGACTGCCAGTACATCAGATCCATGAGTTGTGTCCACACAATTACTGGCAGTAGGATTTGCCCACAATCTGACGAGTAGACGTGACGTTTTCATTGAATTGATGACAACTTTTGAGAAAGCAAGGTTCTGTGAAAGTGAATGGAAACGTCAGTTTGTTGTGGGCGAATTCTACTAACAGTCCTTCGTCACCTTAGACGAAATGGTCTGAACACAACTCTTCGGTTTTGGTCTCCGGATTCTTATTGCTTGTTGGCAAGACTATCATCATTTACACACAATTTAATCTCCATTTTTCCATTTTCCACTAGCATTCATCATTCCTTTAGTACCCGATGTTAGTCCAGCCTTGTCTCGTTTTGGACTCATTTTCTCTTCTTCCCTTTTTCATTTGAGCAGTTTTAGTTCTCTCCCTCAAGGAATGCCATCTGCTCTTTTCCCGAATTCTCCGACACGATTTGAGACATGTATCCCCAGCCCTGACTTCGGAACAGCTCTCTTTTGTCCCGTCGTTATGTTTAGCCAAAGTCATTTTTGACTCTATACCGTTTACTCTGCTCCTCACTCACTTTCTTGTAGCTCTTTAAGTCCACAAATTCCTCGAACTCGTCGCTAGACAGCCTCGAGCCTAATCTACCTCAGCACCAGCCCCGAGTTCTCACAGACAGCCTCTGTCGACTCGTCTCCAGTTGCTCCTTTCAAGATTCGCTGACCATGTTTTTAGCGTCTTTTGTCTCTGCGGTGCTAACCGATCACGTTTGGGCTGCCTGGCCAACACAAAAGTTGCATTAGTTTGGTACGACTTGGTAGTACGAAGAGGGCAGAACTGCAGCTGACTAATAGATTTGGGGGGGAGGGAACAAGATTTAGAGGATGTTTAGTCATCCAGCAAAAGAAGACGACTTAAATAGTCGGTTCGGGCAGGGTTTCTACTTTGTTCACACTCGTTCTTGTTGAGCTTACTTCCATTTCGAGTGAAAGTGTTAGGTGAAGAGATTCGAAGGTCGGTTGCACCAGAATTCCTCTTGACCAGCATCGAGGGTATCATCGTCACAACCAAATTCAATCTAACAAATCAAGAAAACTCACCGGCAAATCCCTTAAAAGTGCTATCTATACTCTACATCTGGCCTCTTTGATCAAGTATAAAGTGATTTGGTTAGTTACGATCATATGTCAACTTCGATGCATGTGAGTGTGTATGTCTCTGTATTTGTATGTGCATGTTTGTGTTCGCTTACGTACGAAACCCGCAGTGACGGATCAAAGTAATTAGAACAGCAAAAAGGAACGTCTGCTTTTGTTTATTAAGGTTTGATGACCCTTATCTCCTCCTTTCTACATTTAAATTAGAACCATCACTCCGATTTCGCAAGGTCGGACATTCGTCTGGTTTTGTTGATGAGCCTTTTTTTTCTTTTGGTCTCAATGAGAGAGAATGGGTGAGTAAAGGGTACAGCGAATGGACTGATTAGAACCAAGACAATAAAAGACTCGAAATGGAAGTAAGCTCAACAATTATGCAGCAAGAGATTCGTCGAAACCCAACTTCATTAGCTCAACCAAACGTACCTTCGTAATAGGGCAATCGCAGTATTACCCTTTTTTGGGTACTAAACGCTCGATGACCCCGGGAGAGCGGTTGTGCTCTGTTGCAATTGTTTGTGCTTACGTTCCCTGACGGACACGCGTACACTCATGTTCACGTACGCGAACTCGGGCATGCATGTGTTTCGGTTGACACAAAAAGCAAGTGACCAAATCATTCTTTATCCCATTTTGTTGAGTGCCGACATCTTTTTGTCGCTTTCCATTTCGAAAGAAACGTTGATTGGAAACACATCGCCAGATAGTTTCACTGAACATCAGACGAGGATTGCTGAGGGGAGTCAAGCGAAGCTTGCCGAATTGTGCCAAGAAACCATTGGCTCACTGTCCTCCGACCTGTGCCACTTTCGTCTGTCGCTTTGTGACAGACATCTTCACAGCAAGAGTCGATGCTTCGAGCAATAGCGCAAAATGCACACACCAACTTTTTTCCCGGTTTAGCATATTCTTTGTGATAGTTTTTTATATGAATTTTTGCTCTGCTAACGCCTCTCACACAGTTACAGACGAAGGCTTAGCACAGGTTCACCGAGATCTCAAGTCTGTGAGCCGAGGGCTTATTCGCGAAATACTTCGGTTTGCAGTGAGACCGATTCACAATTGTTCCTTCGAGAC